GCACCAGCAGCACCAGCACCAGCACGTGGTGTTGCTGCTTGCTGCAAGTAGCTGGTGTAAAACGAATGCTACCAGTACGACTATCCGACTACCCCTGCTTCATCTGCATTGCGAATGGCCCACCATCCATTCCAACATGGGCTTCGTATTGGACTGGAGTCTAGGTGGTTCGAATCGCATTTGGACGTTCACCTGGCCGACCCTTCTTGCAATCGACAACTCCTGTCATAGCTTCTTGGACTGCTTTTGCTATTGCTAGTGACTTACTAACTAGTGACTGCTACTGTAGAGCTCATTGAAGCATCTTACCACCACTGTGGTTGTTACTCTGAGAGCACGCCCCCTGAAACGGCTAAAATGTCCTGGATACTCTGACAGCTCTATTCCCAATGGATTCCAGTTGAGTCCATACATCGATGAACCTCCATGTGGTTGCTTGCAAAAGGCACCTGGGCATGGTCGGAAGATCTTGGCTGCAACCCGCCTGGCAAGCAGTGCGTGAGCAGTGCAGCTGTATCGTGCTACCCGGCAAAGTGCTCATCAACGATGATGTTGCAGTCATAGTCTTATAGCCATACCAGTAGGAGTGGCGATAATGATGGTGGTGATGGTGGTGGCGGCGGCGGCGGTGGTGTGGTGGGGATAGTGGTGGGTGTGCTTGGGGCGGGGGCGGCGGTTGCGGTGGCGGATGTGGCCGATTTGGCAGCGGCGGCGGTGGCGGCGAAGGCGAAAGTGATGCTGGCGGCCAAACGTCAAACAGGATTTAAGCCAGACAATATGCGGGCTAAGTATCGAGGACATGCTGCTTCTGTAATAAACCATGTCTGAAATTCCACGGGCTCAGATGTGCCGCTTAGTTGGTAGAACTCACTTCCTATCTTCTATGTTAACCTTTGCATTAGCTTGGCAATGAAGGTCCATTGACCCCTGGCAGACGAAGCTTCCACATTTTCCTGAACGCTGCTGCGAGAAATCTGAGAGCAACCAAATCCCACAAAGGTACGGCGACCTCTGAAGCAATGTGCTGTGCTCCCATCTTGACTGGCTGCTCTCAGACTGCGTATCATGTCAACTTTGCAAAAGCTCCACAAGCACAAGCGACGCAAGTGAACAGGGGCGGAACACAAGCTTTCTTACATCTCCTTCGTTCAGATCAGGTGCCCCTGCTCTCCAGCTGATCTGGTGATCACTTGGCAAGCAACGTATGTAGTGTTCAAGGTGTTGGGCAAGGCTGTTGCCTCCGGTCATCTGACAAATTTGATATGCGTTGAGCGTTGCATATGCAAGTCAGCCAGGAATTCCGGACAAAACCGCAGTTCTCAGCAAGAGATGTAACGTATGACAAAGCACCGCTAGAACTTAAAGGCAACCTCTGGCGCTTGCCCATGTGTGGTGACAGATCGGATCGGCAGCTATCCTAGTTTTAGGCGCCGCTCAGGGACTAGAAAAATGGCAGCTTCCAAAAATCAGGGCTCTCTTGTTGAAGCCGTTTGCTAAATCAAGCCTCGATCTCGAGATAGTGTACATGCTGTGGAGGGCACTAATTTTTGGAAACCACCACATAGGTGTGTTCTCTGCTGACTCTCTGCACTCCTGATCTGGCAGAACAGGTACGGGAAACTGGCTCATCATAATCCAGCCGTCACAGACAGCAGACAGTCACAGTCCGAAACAATTTATCACGCCACGGCCTCTTTCTAAGTCTGAGCTGCTTTGCAGCCGCCAAGTCCACACGATGGATATCACCGCTTCTCAAGTGTTGACTTCTGGAAGCTTCCTCCGTGGACTTCAGCTGTAAGGGTGAGCAGGCCAGAGAAATCAAGCAGCTGCTTGGTACGCCTCAAAACAGGCAACTAGGCTGACCTCAACTTCAGCCTTCGAAAGAAGCGAGGAGGGAAGTACCGGCCACTTGCCCAGCTAAGTTTCAGAATCTGCTTCCCAGCATTCTGGACCTTGCCAAAAACTCAGAAGTGTGGCATGCCATGCCGACGTTGCTCGCACTAAGACACATTCTCAATATTTTGGGGAAGCCTCAACATCTGCACATAAAGCGCCTCCCTTCCTGTCTCTCCCATGCACTCTCTCCCGACCTTGGGAAGACCTCCCTCACAGCTTCTTGCATCTGAGCCGCCCCGGTTACTGGGAGCCAGATTTTGCTGAGAAACAGCCAAACAGGGACTTGAAGAAACCACCGCCTTTGCTTCAAGAGATGGGGCGCGGGGGCTCTTTGGGATCCCCTCGAAGATCAGTGGACTTGAGCAATATAGGGATTATAGAGGGGTAATATTGGGGGGTTATGTTGGGAATAACGGAACATAAAATGGAAACAACTATGTTAAGTTCCTTTTCATCTGCAAAGAGTCCTGCTCTGCAAGCCTACGGTTCGGCCAAGCCTCTGTCCGACACAACAGGGAGGATATGCGAATCAGTGCCGCAAGTCTCTCTGCTAGAAGATGGTATTTCAAGGGCACCATCGATACTTCTTGCGAAGAGTCCGCAACGGCATGATTGTACTGGCTGAATACCCTCCATCTGTTGCACACCTATTGCAGACTCTCCTCCTCCTGCTCCTCCTAGTTTACTGCGGAACATGCTCCAGAGCTTGGAAATGCCGGGCTGCGGTTGGGCGGGTTTCCCGACGCAGAAGGCTTTCGCGGATTCGGCGACATCTGTAGGCAACGAAGGCGGTCAAGTTGAGGCTGTTGCAAAGCTCGCTTAATCTTACTTTGCTAAGCAGGATTGGCAACTAGTGCTTGAAGCACTGGTCGCTCCCCAAATGAGAGTACAGAGAGCCAAGCCACAGGAAATGGCCCCTTCCCACCCAATTCATGGCTTGTCCGACTCCACACAGATATCCCGCCTCTGAGTCGATTCCGTGACTTCGGGTGCTCTTGACGCCTCGTGTCAAAGGTGTGCTGTGCTTAGATGGTCAGACCAAGCACGAGGCAGTCCTCTCTGGGGAAGGGAGGATTTTGCGAGGAAACTGTGTTCTGACTCCTTGTTGGCAAGCTCATGATTTCATGAACAGTATGAGTTCCTTCGATTCCATGGCCTGAACCCTCCCAAAGCCTGTTTGCATTGAGTCGGTGCATCCCCCTTGCTAGCAGGCGGTTGAATTTCTTGGATCCTACAGTCTCAGAGGATATCTAGAATTGGCTCCTGCTTGAACACTTAGATAAAGGTGTCAGCAGAACAGGGGTAACCCAGGGTCTCTAATGATGTATGGGCATAGTGAGGGGACAAGGGAAATCCCTATGAGGGATTCACAGGGATAATTTCGAGGGAATAATTTTGAGAAACTGCCATCTAACTACCTGGACGCTGGTTTGAAATGGCCTTGAAAGGCGTCACCCTTTGTCTATGTAACAGGCCCGGAGGCTCGCCGTTGGGGAAAGAACGAGTATGTGTGGGTGCTGCTTGCAAATATACATGGTCTAGCGCGCCCACTTTAAACCTTCCACTTGGCTGATCCACTTGTGATTGTTGCCCTTTGGCTCTATCTTGTGCAGTGCAACAAGATTCCTCAGCCTATGTCTTTGTTTTGTGTTGGATGGCAACCCTCTGCAATACGACTCATCTGTGTATTGTAGGGGCCTGAATCACTAGGGTCGGTTTAGAAGTCCAGTTGAATTACGGTATACAATGTTGTGGCTCAAGGGTTACAAAACCCCAAATACTGACACCCTCATTCAGAAATCTATACACTAGGTGGACCCCCGACCCAGTAATAGTGACTATAATTGATAATAAAGATTATATCAGGGTCCTATTATATTCCTATTATACCACTATTATAGGGTGGGGGGTCCTCCTAATCTATACAGGACATGCTGCGATCTGTGGCGGCTGCAGGGGCTGTGCTCCTCATGGAGTCGGCATGCCTTGGAGGTTTGCTTTTAGGGCTCCATGACAAACAGCTGCTCACATATTTCTCAGAATCTACTTACCTTCTATAAGCCCGGCTAAACATGGGAGCGCGGCTTGAATCTTGATAGACATACTCTTTCACAATAATGATGCCCCAAACCTACATCCCAGAACCTTCGCACGAACCACCAAACGGTGCGCTCGCTTTTGAGGGGGTTTTCCTCAAAATCGCGATATCCCTAGTTACCTCAGGGATGGGTCACTGGGTCCCTGGCAGGGGCCATCTTAGGGCTATTTATGCCCTGACCTTGGGTCCTGTCCCGGCCCATTCACAGTCTATAGCAGGGATCACATTAAGGGCCATATAAAAATATATGTATATGTATATGTGTATATATATATAATTAGTAATATTATCCCAGTACCAAGACGGACCCATCGTTGCTATCCATGGCCTCCCCAAGTAGACAACCCTTAACTAAAGACACTCACTGACACTGACCAAGTTTCCTATAGAGCCCCCTGTGCATGATCACTAAAACAGAATCACAGGCCACCTCATAGCCCCAACCCCTTCTTGACCCTTAACCAAGAAACTCCACATCCCTTACTAATATACCTAAAATCGTTGCACACCTGCTGGTGTTTACCAGTGGGTGAAGGCAGAGAAGCCAGTAAGACATTATGAAATCCCAGTCGAGCCTTGACCGAGTTTCCTTGGCGGAGCCTTGGTGGCACTGGGGGGCCACATAGAGTACAGTAGTGAATGATGCGGTGGCAATTGCAGCAGCCGTAGAAGTGGCTACAGCAATATCCACAACAGCAGCAGCTGCAGCAGTATGAATAGGGGTACGAGACGAAGCGGAACACGTGCTGGCACTGGTCATAAACCACGGTAAAGCTTTGTTGCTGCCATCCGGAGAAATGTTCACAGAAGACCCTGAACATTCTTTGCCTGGCTATGGTTTAGCACGCAGCTTGAAGACTATCTTGGACTGGTTCTTCCAAGCGTCCTTGCCATCGCATAGGCGATCCCTCCTCAGCATGCAAACTTGTTCAGCTGGGGTAACGCTTTGGCGGAGTAGTGATTTCTAAGTGTCGGTGGTCCCAGAAAAGTGTGTTCTTATTCTTGTGCCCTGGTTCGAAAGTTCATACTTTCCCCATCCCACCTGCGCACTCATCTTCACAGTGACGGATAAGCAGAAGCGCCTTCAACCCTGCACCAGCGATGCTTCGCCCTAACTCTGACTCACTGTACTCTTGCTGGGCGTCGGCCACGGGTTCATCGCCAGCATGGCGGTGCTGTTTGCTACCTCATTTTTGCATCAGGGGTCTACCTGTGCAACAACGCACTGAGCAATGAGGACTCATTACTTACTTTGCTGTCTTGATACGGACCTTGAACAAGGGTAGCTGCATCAAGCAGCCATACATTCCACTTCCCTCATTGAAGTTCCTGTTCCCTTGTTGCTCCTAACTGATGCCTGGACTGGGATGGAGCCCCACAGCGAAAGACTACAACCCGACTGCTGTGTGAGCATGTACTGATACGGGATATGCTTCCTTGGCTTCACATTCAACAACAAGCTGAAATAAGCGCACACAAATTCAACTCTTGATTCCAAGACCTTTTTACAATATGAAAGCATCAATGCTCAAAATAAGCCTTTTTCGTGCGAATTTGAAGTTGAGTATTCTAGCTTGCTCCCCGCTTCATCCGGTAACGTCTGAGGCTTGCGCCTACCTCTCGCACGCGAAGCTGTGGTTCCCCACGGGCCTCTGCCTCACGATGGATCAAGGCCTGCCTCCATGTCCCGAAGTAGGAAGACTCTGCTACATAAGGATTTCAGGGTTTGAAGCCCCCCCCCACAATGTCCAATGGTTAAGGCCGTTTGAAGTAATATATGCATGCGAAGCGAGGAAGCGTGAGAACTGTAATCACCGAAAGGCTGATGACGCTGACGCGTGGCATGCGGTTACTGACTGATCAAAACAGCAGGTCCCCTCAGCCCACTCTAAGAGGGCCGCTGACTAAGCCTTGCGCAGCAACACAAGCTGTGCTACCCATCTATCTCAACTGGATCGGATGCTTAGAGGCTTCTGGTGCTTCAACGTATCGGGCCACGCAGGCCAAAATCTGGAAGCCTTCACACCATCGTTCCTAGTCCGTCTGAAGGTGAAAGCTCCCACGGTTCTTGTGATGTTCTTTGGTTTGCACTTGGCTTGCAGATGACTGAGATCTAGCAGAATGATCTCCCGACGTGCCTGCTTGTTAAACTGGCTGGAGTTCATTGACTCTGTCACTGATGGCTGTGACCAATCGTAGACGCCATCGTTCTCATAACCTCTCAAGGCTTGACCATTGCGTGTGTTGCATGCTACAAGGACCACTGAGAAGGCAGGAAACCTCTAAAGAAGGCAGACTATTTTTGCAGAAACGGAATGCGGCACGATCTTTATGGCAAAGACATCCGCAGATTGTAGCCTTTCAAGACAGCCTGCCACCTGTGGCTCTCCCTGAGCTCTGCCACCCTTGCTTCAGCCCACAACCGCAAACCCTTCAAACCACTGCAAGGCTTCAGCAACAGTCCGTGGTTCACAGCAACTTTGCTGATGGAAGAGATGCCCTACAAAAAAGTGATGAGCACTGCCAAGGGGTTGACAATGAACAGATTATCCTACCACGAAGGAGTTCCACAGGATCTCAAATCCAGCAACATCCAGTGCAGAACCCTTCCCCCCGACAATTGCGCGACTCCGGAGAACCCTCAGGCCTTCCTTGGCAAAAAGCTCCTTGAAGAGTCGCCGGAGGTAGGCATAGTCGGGCCGATCTTCAAACCGCAACGCCTCCCCCGAGCAAATCTTCGTATCGGGGTTCTCAACCTACATGTCCAGCTTTGGGGGGATCTCTAGACCGAGAATCTGCATGGTGTTCTACTCCCAAGCTAGCGCAGGGCGGTAGATGGACGTTGTGTTTGTTGGTTCAGGTCTTCAGCCCTACCGCCTTTGCGTAGTTCATGTAGGTGACGAAGATCAGCGGACAACCTGCAGCAGATACATTCAAGTCCTAACAGAAGAATATGTGAAGTGAAAAGGGTTGCAACGCATGATTCAATTGAACTTATCTGAACTGAATTGCAAATAATCCTCCCCACGGTCGAGTTACCTGAAACGGAGTCACCGCACAAATCAACTGACGACTGACCACTCCAAATCAGCGATTACTTTGCTGCCAGGCAACCCTTGCACAGGGACTCTACAGACGTGGACTGCTTGCACTCCATGATCTTGTTGTACCTCGAGGTTGGCAAGTACGGATGACATGTTTCAAGCCAGCCTCAAGGAAAGCCAGCTTCAAGGGACAACGCCACACACTGAGACTGTGGATGGACCACCGACTAGAACACATATGCTAGCACAGCGTTGCTAGCTACCTAGCCACAGGTCTAAGGGCTTCCGCTTTGCTCTCCCTCCGACCGCACGTCAAAGCTCAAGCCAGCAGGCAGACGTAGGATTCCGTCAACTTGAGAAGTAAAACTCAGACGAAGCTGCGGCCAGCAAGTTAGTCCCAGCAAGTTTCGAAATGCGTGCGCTTGCGGATCCAAGTTGCTTCTCTTCCTTGGTAGCTGCCTGGAATCCTTGCCATGGTAGCTGCCCTTTGCAGAAGTAGATCAAGACGTATCCTGAGCTATACGCAGGATTTCCCCCATCTTTTGCACAGGGTTGCGGACAAATTTGCTTTCAAAAGAGCACAAAGAGCGGCTACGTACACATGGTGCAAGCGGTCTCCGAGAGTTGCTTGCGAGGTTTTAAACAACTCTTGGCTTTGTTGATGCGGATCGTGGTCCTTTATGACACATTTGGGCAACTCCATTTTCGTCCCGTTTTTTGCACAGAGAGTTTTCTACATAAAGCCTGGCCTGCAGCAAGCCCTCACAAAATGCAAGGCTTGGGATGATGCCGTCCCCTGACAAGCCAAACGGCAACTTACAAGACTGGCAAACCAACCACTAATCCCATAAAGCCAACCCTGCGTCCAACCTGGGATGAATCACTTTTCTGGCCCTGCATGACTCACATTAGTGGCTTCATCAGCGCTGCCCCTTTCCCCATCTGCCCTTGGATCAGGAATAAGGGGCCGATCGCTTCAATGTCGTCCCTTCGACTCTGTTCGATTCCGCGATGAGCATTTACCTGAAACGCCATTGACAGCACGGTTTAAGAGCGCTGAGAGCCTGCGACAAACAGAAAGTCGAAATGCGTCGGAAAACATAATGTGTCGGAGAAGACAGATTGGCAGTAGGTTAGGTGTCCTTATGAAACCAAAGCGGATCTCGCTTGCAGAGGCCCTGAAACAGCACACACTGCACGTGTCATATCATACATATGTAGAAATGTGTAAAGGCAAGCAAATCAGCCACCGCTGGAACCCCCAATTATCGGAGAAACGCTTTGCCTTGCAGACTATCCCTGCCATACGACAATTCCAGAGTTGACATCTGCACTTCTCAGGCATCGACGGATGCGTAGCGAGCAGTTCCGGTCATGCTCTTGTTGTCCTTTGGCTGAAGACGTAGAGCTTGAGGACTGGGGATCACCAGGAAAACTCCAAATTCAGAAGAGGATACACGGTAGTGAATCATAATATAATATTGCAAGTACGGCACTGTAAGGTCTGACCTGCTTTTGACATGGAGTTTTGCTCTCGCTGTTGATTCGGAAGGGCTCCATGCTTCTGCACCAGCAAGCTGAGTTGAAGTTTCTTTCAGTTTGGGCCTAGGCTGAAGCCCTGCACCGAATTCAGACAGCGTCGATGCAACGTTCCTCTTCCTGCACGTTGACTTAAAGCCCTTCTAGACACTTTGAAATCCCACAACTGAGATCAGGCCCATGTGGTCAACGTGGGTCTGCGTTGGACATGAATAAGACCGACTTGATGCCAACCTTTGGTCCACTTGGCCAAGTTGCTCTGTACGGGATGTGATTGCACTTGGAGTCCCTGCAAACATGCGACGCGTGATTCAAAGTCTCAAGTACGGACTGGACGAGATGAGCAAGCAGCCTGAACGCATATGAGCTGTACTCTAAACTCCAAGTATCCCCCTTAATAGGCTGTGGTTGCGAAGGGCTGTGGACGGATTTAGGCGGAGAAACGCAAAAATTGCCCGAAAAGCCGAAAAGTTTTGTTTTGGAAATTTGGCGCGAAAAGTCGAAAAGCCGAAAAGCCGAAAAATCCGAAAAGTTCCGAAAA